GAACGAGTGGGCGAGCTTAGTTTTATGTGCCTGAAGTAAGAACCAGATGCCGTTTACGACCCAGTATAGAAACCCCCACATGTTATGGGCCTGGGACAAGAAGAGAGGTACTTAATTGGGCGGGTTGTTGGTTTCTTTCTGAGGTTGTTATTTCTTCTTTTTACACCAGTCCTTTTAGCATTTCTTGCATGGCTGGCTTGGTGGTGATAAACTCCCTTAGCCTTTTTTTGTCTGTGAAGCTTCTTATTTCCCCTTCAATTTTGAATGATAGCCTTGCTGGATAGAGTATTCTTGGATTCAGTCCTTTGCTTTGCATCACTTTGTAGATTTCCGTCCATTCTTTTCTGGCCTGATGTGTTTCTGTTGAGAAATCATTTGATGATCTAATGGGAGATCCCTTGTATGTAACTTTCCGTCTCTCTCTTGAAGCCTTTAAGATTGTCTCTTTGTCCTGAACATTTGCCATGGTAATTATGATGTGTCTTGGTGTGGGTCTTTTCGGGTTCACCTTGTTTGGGACTCTCTATGCTTGTGTGACTTTTTTCTTCCCCACCTCAGGGAAGTTTTCTGATATTATTTCTTCGAATAGGTTTTCTAATCCATGTTCATCTTTCTGTTGTTCTGGCACCCCTATTATTCGTATGTTGCTTCGTTTCATGTTGTCCCAAAGTTCCCTTAGGCTCTCCTCCTGTCTTTTAATTTTTTTCTCCATTTGCCGTACAGTTTGAGTGTGTTTTGCTTCCTTGTCTTCTAATTCACTGATTCGGTCCTCCGCTTCTCCCAGTCTACTGTTGATACTTTCAATGGTGTTTTTTATTGCAGCTATGTCGCTCTTCATTTCTTCTTGGGACTTACTTAAGTTGTTGATTTTTTCACCTGTTTCTTCTAGCTTCTTGCATACGTAGTTGAGTTTTTCATCTGTTTCTTCTTGCTTCTTGAACATCCGGTGCATGTACTCTAGGAACCTTATTCTGAATTCTTTTTCCGTCATGTTGCATATCTCTGTCTCACTTAGCGGCTTTTCTGGCGAGTCCTCCTTTTCTTTCCTTTGGGGGTTTCTTTGTCTACCCATGTTTGATCTCACTGACATTACTAGTTGTTGAATCGTTCAGTGGCTGGACCCTGGGTGGCAGTGGCTCCTCGGTCTGTGGTTGCTCCTTGGGCAGTTGTGGTAGCAGCGGCTCCTCTGTTGATAGCAGGGCCTCTGATGGGTGCTGTTCACAGTTGTGGTGGCTCTTCTGGCTGGTGGAGGGAGGCTTCAGACGCAGCAACTGTTCCCCAGGCAGAGCGTGTGGTGATCAGGAGGCCGCTTTTGCTTGAATCTTCGAGGCAAGTCCAACCTTTCCGTGGAGGGGTGCAGGTCTCCCCTTGGCTCTTGCAGTCGCGCTGTTTGCGAATCGCTGCCTCCGGGTCAGTAGCCGCCGGGCTAGTAGCCGATCTCTGGATGCCGGTAAACGCTGCCTGAGATGGCGCGGTCCCGCCGCTGCGCTGGCGCCCAGAGGGAGGTTTCAGCCTCAATCTCCAACCATCCGCATTTTTTAGGAGTTTTCTGTCTTTCCTGGCTGCAGACTGTCTCTCAGCTGAACCTCCCCAGCTTGATCGGGCTGATTGTTACCCGTTTCAGCTGCTCGCCCCCATCTGATCTGCTGATCTGCCGATCTGCCAAGTGGGAGATGGGTTTCTTTGAATGCCTTGGGATCCCCGACTCCAGATGATGAAGCTGACTGCCCCCAGGAAGCGCCAGCTGTCCAACTCACATCACGTTGGGTGATCTGCACTTCTTATACCTGGCTTGTCTTCACTGGGGATCACAGAAATCTCTAGCCAAGAGCTATTGTGGTCAAGTGGCTTTCCCCAGTGCAAAGTTGAAGAGGCAGCTCTCAGGGGATGCTTCTCCAAACCCTTTGGTGTTACTTTAGGTTCTCATTCTCTAGTAAGATTTTTGAGAGAGGAAAAAAGCTACTGCTGTGTGAACTCAAATATTGAAAAAGGTAAGTGAACGTTATTTCTACCATCATGTGATCTGAGCTATTTGAGTAGAATCATAAATCTTGATTTGTAGGGTTACCTAGCCCAACCTCGAATTCAGTGTGAAATAGATTATGAATAGAGAGTAAAAGAGAAGCTTATTCATTGTTTCAAGTTCCTGGACAGAGAGTGTGTCGGCTCCCGGGTCTGCTGCCCGATGGAGCACTGCCAGGGAACCTTGGAAATGCAAAACTCCTGCCTTCAGCAAGGAAGCAGGAGAACAGGCCTCACCAAGGACAAAAGTGTCCCTCCCCTAAAAACAAGTTTAATCAGATCTCTTCCCTCCTAAGGCCCTTCAAGAAGCATGACACCATCAACAGGCTCAAGCCCTAGTAAAGATAATCCTATATAATAAAAGGGTAATATGCAAGTTGACCCTAAAGGCAGAACCACTGGGAATGACCAGTTGCTATGACGTGCACTGACCACCAGGGGGCAGAAGCTCAATGCAGGAGCTGCCCCTGGTGGTCAGTGCACTCCCAGAGGGGGAGCTTAGGCTCAGCCACAAGCGGGGCTGATGTGGGAGCCTCTCCCGCCTCCTTGGCAGCGCTAAGGCTGTCTGACTGTGGCTTAAGCTGGCAGGTGGACATCCCCTGCAGATCCCAGACTGAGAAAGGGCTCAGGCTGGGCTGAGGGACCCCCTAAGTGCAACTAAGTGCATGAATTTTCGTGCACCAGGCCTCTAGTAAATTAATAAAAATAAAACATAGTAAGTGTGTGTGTGAGAGAGGATAGAGATCCAAAAGACTTCCTTTCCCCCCTTTAAAATCTAAATCCTCCCAAGAGTAGTGCCAACACCATTACCAGTCAAAGCATTTGCAGAAAGAGCAGGGCCAGGACGTGAAATACCAAATTAGGGGGCGGGGAAGGGCTTGGGGAGGACCCCCAGGGGGAGTCAGGACGGCTTGGGGAGAAGTTTCTAACTTTACCTTCAAGTTACCCCACTTGGACGGCTTTTCTGTTCCCTCAAGCTCGCCAGCAGTGCCGAGGCCCCTAAGCAGAGGCCTTCAGGGCCCCGCGCCGGCATTTCAGGTGCATGGTCCACAGGAAACACATTTTAAACACCGCGACCCGGCTCCCGGGCTTCGCACACTCACTGTGGAAAGTCACACCCGTCGGCGGGCGCGTCCATAACTCATCTGAGCAGCCGCTGCCCCGGTCACCATGAGCAAAGCCCCGGCCCGGTGACCCGCCCCGCCCCCCCCCCCCTCCCAGCCCCGCCTCGGGTAAGACCGTCCCCCAGGGACACCCCGCAGGCGACTCTTCAGTGACCGCGCTCCCGCCGGCCGCTCGGAGGGATGGAAAGGAGGGCGCGGAGCTCCTCCCGAGAGACCCGGAGGAGTGGCGGGCGGGGCCTCCCCTCAAGTAGAGCTGGAGGTGAAGGCTGAGAGGGACGTAGAAGACTGCGGGCCGCCGGGATTGCGGTGTCGCAAGCAGAGAGACCCCCGGGCGTGATGTGAGCCTCTCGGAAGACTCTGCTCTGTCCTGCAGCCGCCGGGCAAGCCAACCGGGGTGGAATTTGGATGAGTTGCTGGGCTCCCGGCGAAGGAAGGCCACCGAGGTGATGGCGCCCCTGGAGAGCGAGCGTCCCGAGGAAGGTACGGCGGGCAGGTTGGGGGCCCGGGAGGGAGAGCGGCCTTTGCAAGTGGCAGCCGAGGGGTGTCAGAACAGTGGAATGCGTCGCCATGCCCGGAGCCACCGAGGCCAGGGCCTGACAGACACCCCCACCAGGGGCAGCTGCCAAATGCATCCGAAGAAATACAAGTAACATCAACTAAATGCCGTGGATCTCAAGAATGGGGAGGTGGGAGGGAGTGTGGTCTGGGTTAGGGACCAATGCACACGGCAAAGAAACCCTGCCGCTGGGTTTATGGCCACGGAAGAGTATGCGGGCACCTCATCTAAGTGAAGACGTGCATGAGCTGGTGGCTCCGGGCAACTATGCAACTTATTTTTCCATCCTCATTCCCACCCTTCAATCCTACGGAAACGCATGCTGAAGTCTCTTTGGGATGATCACTTTTCTAAAAGTAGAGGAAGCAGAGCCAAGTAGAGAAGAGCCAGACCCGAGTTTAAATCTCAGCTCAGCCGCTGGCTGCCCATGTGCTCATTCATAGGCACCCGGGATGGCGGCAGGACCTGGCTCAGAGGGTAGCTGTGAGGATGAAAGGAGATGAGGCACCCAAAGCACCGTGCACAAAGCCTGGATCAAGGAACACATTCCGTTAAAACAGGATCCCTGCAAGCTGCAAGAGAGCAAAGTCAGACCAAAGGAGGGAATCACAGGGAAAGTTGTCTGTTTGGCTTCTGTGGGGGTGAAGCAACACTTAGGAACAGATGTAGCTGCTTCCAATTTTTTTTTTTAATGAACAAAAGAAAAACTATTCCACTTTAAGTGTAGATAATGCTTAAAGGAAATTAAATAAGGAATACTTGCATTATATTGTTTTCTGCTGGCTAGGAAATTGTAACATTTCCTAGTTACCAGCAATGCAGTACATGCTGGAGCATTGAAAGCTATGATTTGAGCAAGATTCGTGCAGCCAGGACCATGTTAACGTTTTGCCCACTTGATTCCCTTTCATCAGCCAGAAACGTCCAGTCATTAAATGCTTGTTGAGTTCACTGCTATAGTATTGCTGAGAGTGGAGGTCTTGTGTGTGCTTCAGGCCACAACGGAGAGGGAGCCAAGGAAGGAAGCCTAGGTGTTTTACTGAGTAGTGTCATTCCCATCTCACAGATGAGGGAAAATGCTGAGGACGTGGTAACTTGCCCAAGACCTGCAGCTGGGAGGTGGAGATGCCTGAACTCTAGAGTAAGACAGTCTGATGGAAAAGCTCCTCCTTGCCCGCGCTGCCCCTGATTTCTGGTCATGGTCCCAGCATTGCCACCGACCAGCTGTGGCCTTGGGCAAGTAGTTTCATCTGTGTGGACTTCATTCAAGTGAGTAGAGCCTGGGGCCCTACGCAGTGGATGAGAAGTCTCACTGAGGATGAGGTGGCCTTGCTGAGCCCTTGTCGGGGAGGTTTCGGTGGCTCCCAGGAGGAAGGGGAGCAAGAGGCAACAACATCCACTCCTCTGCCTCACTTAGCCCACCTCCCCCTTCCAGGCCACTTAAGATTTAGGAGAAACGAAAAGGCGCGTCCCTTTACTAAAATGCTGGGGATTCTCAGACTATGTCTTATCTAAAGGCTCTTCCTACTTTAACATTTAATGGTTCACTTAAATCAAACAAGTCAGATATTCAAGGAACTGATTCCAAGAGAATATTTTGTGAGCAAATCTTTAAATTAGGTTTTGGGTATAGATACTAGTATTAGTTTTCTGTTCATATCCTTAATTACTGTGTGAAGAAATTTTGAGGCCTTTCTTTACTTATAAAATTTTGTCTGTATGTGCATTTATTTGTTTTTACTTGGCATGGTTACCACTGTAAGTGAAATGTTTTTATTTACTAATTAAACATGGCGATAACACTGTTATTGCTCTTAAGGGAGAATAAGAAAAAAAAAAGGCTAGCATGATGTTAATGGAGCAGCATTTTCCAAAGCAGATTACATGAGAAATAAACTCCATAGAACATAATTTCCTTGGAGAAAACATTGCCTGGTCAAATGTTTGGGAAACACAATTCTGCCTTTTCAGGGCCTGCTCTGCCTTCCATAGGCCCACATGGCCCTTCACACAGACAGTAGCCTAGCCCTGTGAACTGACTTCTCTGATACCCAGCTTATTCTAATATTCCCACGGAAGTCTACAAACTGTTCTGACCCTAATACCAAGGTCTGGACAACACATGCTAGTCAGTGAAGATGGTGAAGTTTTAATATACTCCTTCTTCTTCTTTTTTAAGGTACCAAGTCTTCTGGGTTAGGGGCCTGTGAGTGGCTTCTTGTCCTCACATCCCTGCTCATCATCATCGTGACCTTCCCTTTTTCTGTCTGGTTCTGCATAAAGGTGAGATCCTTTAATTTCCTGAAGCCTCTCACTAACCACATCATGCCCACTTTTACTTCTGTGTTTTGATAAGGGCTGTCTGCTCCGCATGGAATGCCCTCCCCACTCACCTTCCGGGAGAGCACCTACTCCTTTAAGGCGTTGCTCACATGTAACTGTGAAGACTTCCTTGACTTGCCCAGACTGTCATTCCCTTCCTCTTGCTCTGATGTCACTCTGCTTCCCCACCCATTCTAGCACTTACCACATGTATAATATTTGTTGACACCCCATCTCTCCGATTAGATGGAGAGCCCCTTCAAGACAGGGGCTACACCTAGGTCATCTGCCCTCTGTAACACAAATGATGCCATTGTCATAACCTGGCTATTATTTAACAGGAAAGGAAAAAAGGGAAGACTAGATAGACTACATATAATAGGCATGCCATTTATACAGCTTTGCCAACAAGCTGCCTTTAACATTCTCCAAGTCTGTTCCCCACTGATTGATGGGGGATGGGACTAGACAAAGGCAGTTTAGATACATGCCCAGTAAGGTCTGAGTGACGTGGGAGGGTGCCTGCCCGTCTGCCAGTCATACTTGGGAACAAATTAGTGGCCAGGATGGGGGAGAATTTGTGACTAACTGGCATTACTTTTTCTTTAAACGCTTGGCAGAATTCCCTAGTGAAGCCATCTAATCATGGATTTTTCTTAGTGTGAAATTTTTAAACTACTAATTTAATCTCTTCTGGTTCTTTTCAGTTTTTGTTTTTCTTCTTAAGTCAGTTTTGGTAGTTTGTGTATCTGTAGGATTTTGTCCATTTCATCTAAGTTATCTAATTTGTTGGTGTATAGTTCATAGTATTTTTTCTTATAATATTTTTTATTTCTTTAAGGACAGTAGTGATGTCCCTGTATCATTCCTCTTTGATTCCTGGTTTTAGCAATTTGAGTCTTCTTTTTTATTGGTCAGTCTAGATCAGCGGTTCTCAACCTGTGGGTCACAACCCCTTTGGTGGTTGAATGACCCTTTCACAGGGGTCGCCTAAGACCATCCTGCATATCAGATATTTACATTACGATTCATAACAGTAGCAACATTACAGTTATGAAGTAGCAATGAAAATAATTTTATGGTTGGGTCACAACATGAGGAACTGTATTTAAAGGGCCAGAAGGTTGAGAACCACTGGTCTAGATAAATATTGGTCAATTTTGTTGATGTTTTCAAAGAACCAACTTTTGGTTCTGCTGGTTTTCTCTATTGGTTTTCTCTTCTCTATTGCATTTATTTCCACTCTAATCTTCATTAACTTCTTTCTTCTTGCTTTAGGTTTAGTTTGCTCTTCTATGTCCAGTGTCCTAAGGTAGAAAATTCAGTTATTTTGCAATACTTCTCACAGTTTGAAACAAAATATAAGAACTGGTATTAAAATATACTCCCTCTCTCTGTTAAATAACTGTTAATTGATACATATAAAAGCTAATCATGCAGAAGTCATAGAAAAATACAAGATTGAACATGCTGTGGAAAACATACTCTGATTTCTCTGAGTTAGGGACTATTGAACATTAGTGGAAGCATTATTATTATTATTATTTAGATAATCATGGCTATTTAATCAAAATTCTGTTCATGGGCTCAAAAATGAACATGGCCAATATAGTTTTTTTTATTGGTTTCTGAAATTCTACACTTACTAAATGTAGATTTTGGAAACCTACATATCAAGTTTTTTCTTGGTTCTCAAAACAAAAGATTCCTGATACCTAGCATTACTCTCATGTGAAGGCCTTTTGAACTCTCCCTTTTTCTTTCTTGGAGTGATTCAAAGGTATTAAATTTGCTTTTAGGTTTTACAAGAATATGAGAGAGTAATTATATTCCGACTGGGACATCTGCTTCCTGGGAGAGCCAAAGGCCCTGGTAAGGAACAGTTTTTAATCCCCTGTAGACTTGCCAGTTTCTTCAATCCATGCATATTTGTAATATCGACCTAAGATTACATGAAATAACTTGATTCATGGTATCTCCATTTTCCAATCTGGTACTTGTAACAAGGTTTATTAAGAAATTCTTTAGAGAGCATTACTACCAGGTCACAATAACCAAAGAGAAGATGGGTGCAGAGAACTAAATGCCAGGGCCAGGCTGGCCAGAGTAACAGGTAGGCTTAGAACCCATGTCCAGGCACCAGTTCTAGTAGAATGTGTGTATGGTCAGAGTTCTGTGAATTCTCAGAGCAAAGCTAAGCTAATTCAAAGTCGAGAGGGTCAGACCAAACTATGGGAAATAGACAAAGTTCAGTGTCCAGGTAACAAAGTGGTCTTTAGTTGGTGGAATTGAAGAAAAACAGATTGAGCACTTTTTACATTTCAGATACTGTATAACTACCAGAGATATAAATATGAATGAGACATGGTTTCTGAATTCTAGGACCTTAAAGTCTAGTGGAGCTGATGTTCAGAGGTCCAAGCTGATAATGGGCACTGATAGAAGCATGGTTAGTCTGAAAGGTCTAGCAGTTGGGATTTGAATAGCCAAGCGAGCCAGGAAGGCATGAAAAGGAGCAAAGTCCCATGGTGCATATATTGGAAAGGGTCCAAATTCCAAGCCAGCTCTACAGAAGAAGGTAGAGAATAGAGACCAGACTAGATACATAAATCAGAGTTTGAAGATTCATAATCAACAGACCAAGGTGATCATACTGCCTATTTTGCCAAAGATAATCTCTATTTATGCCTGTTGTCCTGGAGTAGGTTGTAACAGTGCTCTCTTTTCACTCTCAAAGGTGTTCCAGATTGAACAACAAATTATACAGTAACCTTAGCAACAACAGACACTACAGGGATAGTGGTGGGATCACCCAATGGCCTGTGTGTAGTTGCAGGCTAAGAAAAGCAATGAAATGTGCAGTCTGACTCCCCAAAAGTGAACCCCAAACAGTCTCCATGCTAGCCATTCACCTGTAACTTTCTCCTACCCCTCTCCTAGGTCTTTTCTTCTTTTTGCCCTGCCTGGACACCTACCACAAGGTTGACCTTCGTCTCCAAACCTTGGAGATACCCTTTCATGAGGTAAGCCAAATGATGGATGTTGCTTTCTCTACATTTTACAAAGCTAATCTAGGGCAAAATGACTACTTAAGATCAAAAGTAGAAACGGGAAATAGATATATGGACTACATCAAAATGAAAAAAATCCCGAACATCAAAGGACACAATCGACAGAATGAACAGGTATTCTATGGGTGGAAGAAAAAGGGTTAATATCTAAGATATATAAAGACATCTTACAACTCAACAAGAAAGCAAGCAAACAAACAAACAAAAAGGATTTGTCATAGTTAGTTTTTATGTATCAACTTGACTAAGTTATGGTCAGGAACATCTGGATGTTGCTATGAAAGTACTTTCAGATAAGATTAATATTAAATCAGTAGACTTTGATTAAGGCAGATTACATTTTATGATGTGGCTGGGCCTCACCAATCAGTTAGAGGCTTCAAGAGAAAGACTGCCCTCCCCTGGAGGAGGAGAGAATTCTGCCAGAAGACTGCTCTCAGGCCGGAGCAGCAACATCAACTTTTCCTTGAGTCTCCTGTTGACCTCTCCTGAAGATTTTGGACACACCAGCTGGGCTAGCATGACTTCTTTTCAGCCTCTACAATTGTGTAAGCCAATTCCTTAAAGTCTCTTTCTCTCTCTTTCTAGACACACACACACACACACACACACACACACACACACACACACACGCACACACACTCTATTTCTCTGGAGAGAACTGGCTAATACAGACTTGAATAGCACGTTTCCAAAGAAAATATACAAATTCTCAACAAACACATGAACAAATGTTCAAAATCACTAATCATTAGAAAAATGCAAATCAAAACCACAATGAGATACCACCTCCCATCTATTAGGATGGCCACCAAAGAGAAGGAAAAGAAAGCCAGGAAATAACAAGTGCAGGCATTGCAATCCTTGTGTACTATTAGTGCGTATGTGAAATGGTACCACTGCAGGGGAAAACAGTACAGCAGTTCCTCAAAAAATTTAAAACAGAATTGCCATTTGGTCCAGCAATTCCACTTCTGGGTATATACCCCAAGGAACTGAAAGCAAAATTTTGAAGAGGTATTTATATACCTATGTTCATAGCAATATTAGTTACAATGGCCAAGAGGTGAAAGAAACCCAAGTGTCCATCAATGGGTGAATAAACAAAATGTGGTATATATCTATCATGGAAAATTATTCAACCTTGTAAAGGAAGGAAATTCAGACACTTACTACTACATCATGGATGAACCTGAAGAACATTAAGCTAAGTCAGCGGTTCTCAACCTGTGGGTCGCAACCCCTGAAAATACATCCTGCATATCAGATATTTACATTACGATTCATAACAGTAGCAAAATTACAGTTATGAAGTAGCAGCGAAAATAATTTTATGGTTGGGGGTCACCACAACATGAGGAACTGTATTAAAGGGTCGCGGCATTAGGAAGGTTGAGAACCACTGAAACCCAGTCATGAAAAGAGAATAGTGTATGATTCCACTTATATGAGGTACCTAGAGTAGTCAAACTCATAGAGACAGAAAGTAGAGTGGGGGTTTCAGGGGTTGGGGAGAGGAATGGAAAGTTCTTGCTTAATGGGTTTCAGTTTTACAAGATAAAAAGAGTTCTGGAGATTGGTTGTACAACAATATGAATGCAATTAACATTACTGAACTGTACACTTAAAAATGGTTAAGATGGTAAATTTGATGTTATGTGTATTTTACAAATAAGAAATTTTAAAAGTAGAGATAACACCTAGATTTTTCTATTAGTAATTTAGATTGATAAGCCTTTCCTAACTGTTCCCCACTTTCAGTTTGAAGATCTTATGCTTTCTTTTGTTAAATAAAAACAGAAATTATATATATTTAAAGGCTTATTTCAGATAATAAAATGTAAAAAAGAAATAAAATTCACCCCTAATCCTATTACCTATAGACAGATGTAGATATTTTGGAGTGTATCCTTTCAGGCGTATCTGTGTGTGTGGTTATATTTACAGACAGGAATATAGTATATCAAACCATACATTCCATAGTAGCATGACTTATTTTATTTTTAATTGATTTCTTTTAGAGAGAGAGGAAAGGAGGGAGGAGGAGGGAAGAGAAACATCAATGACAGAAAAACATCAACATCAATCAGCTGCCTCCTGCACGCTCCCTACTGGAGATCGAGCTCACAACCTTGACCGGAATTGAATCCTTACCTCTTTTTTTTTCCGAATCGTTACCTCTTGGTTCCTGGGTTGATACTCAACCACTGAGCCACACCAGATGACCTAGCATGACTTTTTTTTTTTTTACCCAAAATTTTTGTGATCATCTTTTCATATATTAGCTATGTTTCTACCCTTTTATTTTACATGAACACAAAGCATTCTAGTGTATGGACATATGTACCACAATTTATAATTCCCTATTGTTGATATTAGGTTGTTTACAATTTCTTATTACAGTAAGCAATACTGTGAATAACATTCTTGCAGCTAAATCCTCATATGTCCTTGTGAAGGGGTCTGAACATGGACATGCTGAGCACATGCATCTGTGAGGGCACTGGGCGTGCATTACCAGCCTGCCCTCTAGTGTACACCCATGCGCGTGCTTGCTTCCCAGACCGTGCTTCTCTTGAGCACATTTTTGGTGGGCATCAGTTAAAAAGACCTGATAAACAACTGGTTTTTTCATGTAAGAAAATTCTTCCTGATTTTTTTAACAAAAATATTTACAACAGGACTCCCTTACATTGTAAATGCTTTGGCGTAGTTAATAAAAACTCCTTAATCTTCAGAAACACATCTATTTTGAATAATGGGTAGGCCAACTACTCTTTGGGTTTTTTCTTGCTAAAATCTTCCTTGAGAAAATTCCCCCTTGAACACATTTAGTTCAAGTTCCTTTAATCCCAAACGGGAAAGGAGTCCAAGAATCAGGCCTGACAGCCACACTCTCTTTTCTGTGTAGGTTGTGACCAAAGACATGTTTATAATGGAGATAGATGCCATCTGCTACTACCGAATAGAAAATGCCTCTCTTCTCCTAAGCAGTCTTGCTCATGTGCCCAAAACTATTCAGTTCCTCGTGCAAACCACCATGAAGCGTCTGCTAGCACATCGATCCCTCACTGAAATTCTTCTAGAGAGGAAGAGCATCGCCCAAGATGTAAAGGTACTTCAATAAATTTAACATTGAACGTGTGGAAATATATCTTTATCTTTTATTCATTTCCTTCATTGATCGTTTATTGAATCTGCCATGTGCCAGGCCTTCACTGTTGAAGGTGCTACCCCTTAAGAAACTGATAGCTAAGTAAAAGATTATCACATTGATCCTGAGCCAATCATAGTCACCAGTGTGGTGCAGGTTAGGCAGTCATTGCTATAGTTTTTGCTCTCAACCCTACTCCAGCAGCTTCAGATGCAATGTAAAGTGCCCACATAGCACACAAAGTGGTGGGAGTGGGGGCTGGCGGGGTGAGGATGGGGGCTGGATGGGAGAGGTTGGTGGCATACCAAGATGATAAGGAATGTCTCCTGGGAGCTGTCCAGTTGGGGAAACAAAGTTAAACAATGATAAGTTCAAATCAGACTTTCAGATAAAAAGATGTCACAGACCCTTACATGATTAATTCCCAATCACCTCGATTTAACTGATTTGGAATTGGGGGAGGGAGAGAAGAGCCAGAACTGCCTCTCAAGATTGGCAAAGGCATTAAGAAGAGAGGCAAGAACAAAGCAGGATTCCAGAAAACTGCCCAGTCAAGTGGTAGTTACCTCCAGTGACAGAGCCTGCCATGAGGCCATGGGGCACAGAACTGAGTTAGGGGGTGATGAGTCATGACTAGCTGAAAGGGGGACCTCCAACAGGAGGACCTAAGGACCAAAGGCGTTGATAATAATCGTGCTGATGGGGCCTGAGCGGACACTAATCTGAGAAAATGAAGTACCCAAATGTTTGTGAGTTGTCCCACTTGCTACTGATAAAACAGTGGTTAGCATCCTGGTTGTAAATAAAGGGAAGAATTCAGTAAATAAGAGAAGCTAAAAAGAGGAAAAGTTTTAACAAGAGGGACACAGGAGAGTTGTTGCTCTGGAATGTAAAAACCATCCAAGTGTCCCCCCCCCCCCTCGGCCCCCGTTCATCCGCTCTTCCTGTTCTTCCCTCCCCATTAAAGGATAAAGTCCAGACTCTTGACATTGAAGCTTGCCTTGTTACACTGAATTATACTTTATGTATTTACACGTTTGTCTTCCGGGTTATGAACTCCGTATGGCAGGGGCCATATGTATTCCTCTCTCTGTCTCAGGGCCTGGCTCAGGGCGACCACACAGCAGCCTCATAGTGCTCTTTGGTTGAGTGAAGAAACAGCCCAGCTGTTGCAGCCTCACTTCTTGCTGTCCTTCCCCCGTGTGTCCGATACTCCAGCCTCCTTAGCATTCCGCCGGCTCCTTGCCTCCTCTTAGGCTGTCTCCTCCGCACGGAATACTTCCCTTTCTCCACCTATTTGTTCTTTAAGATGCCACCTCCTCTGTGACGGCTTTTTCAACACTCGTTCCTCTCACCAAACTCCCAAACTAGTCAAACTAGTCAATCTTCTCAGGTTTCTCAATGCACTAAGCTTATTAGTTATCTGACAACTAAGAAATAATTAAGAAGGAAAAGAATATGAGCCCACATGTGGAGCTCCATGCCTTGTCCACTTTTCTCCAGAACCCACAGTTCATTTTCTCCCGCCTCCCGGGAATGGACGTGGGGGAAATGGATGCCACCAACAGGAAGGCTGTGCAAGCACCTGTCAGTGAAAGCACCAGTTATTTGGGAGAAAACTACAGACTCTGGGTTTCTAATAATGCATTTTAAAACAGATTTAACAAATACGCCATCTGTAGCATTTCCCTTTGCTTTTATGACAAATTGCCACAAAGTTGGTGGCTTAAAACCACATCAATTTAATCTTTAACAGTTTTGAAGGCCAGAAGTCCAGAGTTAGTTTCACTGGGCCAAAGTCAAGGTGTCAGCAGGGCTGGTGCCTAATGGAGGTTCTGAAAGGACCTTGCCTATTTCAGCTTCTAGCGGCCGCCTGCATTTCTTAGCTCGCGGCCCTTCCTCCATCTTCAAAGTACACCACTCCGCTGTCTGCTTCCCTCACCACATCGCCTTCTCTTCTGTAGTCAGATCTCCCTCTGCACCACCTGGAGGTTGTCACTGACATCTCGACTCTTCCCTCTGCAGGTCGCCTTGGATTCAGTGACCTGTATTTGGGGAATCAAAGTGGAGAGAACAGAAATGTGGGTAGGAAATGAACTGGGAAGAACAATATGATAAATGGAAATATTTTGGTTTTATTAAAAAAAATTGTATTTGATAAGTTATTTTCATTGCATGAGTATGACTATAGCCATAATAGCATAAATTTGGGGGAGAAAAGAGAAAAAACACCTATACCTATTATCTCATAAACATAACAATCATTGTGATATTTGGGCAAATTACTTTCATTTTCTCTGTATGAATTAAAAAACTTTTTTGAGATAAAATCACATAACATAAAACTCATCTTTTAAACCACTTTAAAGTACAATGCAGTGGTTTTTAGTATATTCACAAAGTGGTACAACCGTCACTACCAACTAATTCTGGAATATTTTCATCACCTCATAAAGAAAGCCTGCGCCCTTAGCAGAAACTCCTCATTTTCCCTCCTCCCCAGGCCCTGATAACCTCTCTCTCTCTCTCTCTCTCTCTGGATTTGCCTGTTCTGGCCATTGTATATAAAGGCAGTTATACAATATGTGGCCTCTGTGTCTGGCTTCTTTCACGTAGCATAATGTTTTCAAAGTTGACCCATGCTGTAGCATGAATTAGTACGTCATTCCTTTTTATGGTCGAATATTATTCCATTGTGTGACTAGACCACATTTTGTTTATCTTCTCATCGACGGATGGACATTTGGGTCGTTTCCACGTTGGGGCTATTATGAATAATGCTGCAATGAACATTCACGTGCAAGTTTTTATGTGAACATGTTTTCAATTCTCTTGGGTAGATACCTAGGAGTGGAATTACTGGGTCATACGGTAACTCCATATTTAACTTTCTGAGGAACTGCCAGACTGTTTTCTATCCATGTATTTTTCATTGTTGCATTCAGGGTAAAAGTAAAATTTTGTATCTTTTTTGTAATACGTTAAGTATTGTTCTTATTCGGTCAGTTCTGTGCTTTTCAAAACAATTCTCTTGTATAAACTGAGATAACTTCCCTTATTCTTATTATTAATAATGTGGCTCTTCAAGGTTTTTTTCCTTGTTCTAATTTAATAGCTGGGATTTAGATTAAACTAAGTGGGGGAAAAAGGAACATAATCCATCAACACAAAATTTGTTCTCCATGGAAAGAGAAAACCATAGCTCTACTGTAGCATCAGTGATAATAAAAATCTGCGTAAGGCACTGACTCCTGAGACATACCCTTGGCCGACTGTCTGCCCAGGGATCTAGGGATGGCACTCTGTTCATCAGAATTTTCTGTGCATCGTGAACAACAGTAGGGAAGGGGGTCAGACTGTACGGAAGCTCTGCCTGCTGAGAGCAGTGCCGCAAACCGACCTGGCCATGTTCTTTCTCTTTCAGTAAGGACGTGAAGCTGCCGGCCGGGCTTCAGCACTCCCTGGCTGTGGAAGCCGAAGCGCAGAGACAGGCCCGCGTGCGGGTGAGCCAGCACTGAGCAGGCCATCTGCCCTCCGAGGCTGTTCTTTGAGAAGCACCGGAGAATCCAAAAGGCCTGCTCATGCAGAGCATTTCCCCTTTGCTTCCTCACCTCCCATTCGTCCAGGCACTGGGAGGAATCTGGCTTGTGCTCCTCACTCCAACCAACTCTATTAAAATCGCTAGTGTGCTAGTAGCTCCTAAATGACTAATGCAACATCTCCTCCCGCTACTCCCTCTCTCTGAGGCCATTGGTAACAGTGACCATCTCCTCCAGCTTGAGTCTTATCTTCATTCTCTCTCCCTAAAGGCCTCTCACCATACTTCATCCTTCTTCTCTTGTATTGGCATCTGTCCTGGGTAATATCAGTCACCCGTCACCTATAGGTTAATGACACCCAGACCTGTCTCCCTAGCTCTGCGCAAACTCTGGAGAGACAACCATGCTCAGGGGCCAGTTTCCTCAACACCAGAGCCAAGAGAAGGCTGTGCGACCCATAGCCTCTACTCAGACATGCCAGTGAGAAGCAAGGATGTGGCTGCCAGCAACTCCTGACTTGTGTGGGTGGAATGGGGTGATGGGAAGAGGAAAATGAGGACTGAAGGGGAGGCAGATTTCTTTTAAGGAACAGGAAGTAGGTGGAAAAACCCCTAACCACATAGAAGGTTGATAACTGAGGGGAAGTGGAGGAGGACGGGAGGAAGATGGTCTTCAGGGCAGAGTGGCATCTAACCCTCTCTGCCCACTTTAAAGTGGCATTCAGGTGGTGAGATTGGTGTTTTTCCTTCTGAAAGGCTTTCCCATTCATTTTGCTTGAGTCGGGAATTACCCTTTCAGGATTCCATGTTTTTGCCTGGAATATTGGCCAACCTTTTCTCTATATGGCAAAATCCTTTTAATCTTTCAAGGCCCACTAGACATAACGCCCAGACCCTTCACTATACTTGCCATTTGTGGCCTCAACAAATTCTGCCCCAAATTACAATTAATGGTGTAATCTGTCTTCCCTAGAGCAAGATCCTTGAAAACGAAGACCATCTGTTCTATGCTTCACAGCACCTGCCACATAATAGATGCTTGCTGAATAGTGATTAAAACGGTCCAGGAACGAAGAAGGGAACTCACTTTGCTTTTCTTCACGTCTGTTCTCTAGATGATCGCAGCAGAAGGGGAGAGAGCCACCTCCGAGTCCCTGAGAATGGCAGCTGAGATTCTATCAGGCACTCCAGCTGCCGTTCAGCTTCGATACCTCCACACTCTTCAGTCCTTGTTCACAGACAAACCTTCCACCGTGGTTATACCTTTGCCATTTGACATGTTAAATTTCGTGTCTTCTCCCAGCAACAGAACTCAAGGAAGCATCCCCTTCCCAAATCCTTCCAAACCTGTTGAACCACTGAATCCTAAAAGGAAAGACTCTCCCATGTTATAAGAGGGGCGAAGGATGCTATGTGGGAGCCTGCCATGTAACAGCCACACCCCTGAGTGTTCTCACTTCCTGCCCTTTCTTTTGGGTGCCAGACAGAATGCCCTTGGAATGTATGAAGTTGCAATGCAGCAACCTACCTACATGAGAAGACAGTGAAATCATGTAATGACCAAGAAGAGATACAACAAGTTTAAGTAGATCATCTAGTCAGAGTAATTATGGGAAAGAGCTTTAGCCAACATTCTACTTTGGAAAGAATTTTGAGTTCATATATGGCTAAACTTAGATGTGGTTCAGATGTCCTTTTTTGCTGTGTGCCCTCTGGCCCCTTTGGCAAGGTCTTTGCTGCTCCCACGGCCCTTTCTACATGCGCTGATCATTGTGTTTATCACACTGTGTTGTATAATCGCGTACTTAAGATGCAGGCTTCTCTCCAACTATACTATGAACTCCTCAAAGGTACATCTTAGTCATTCTCCCCTGACCACACTCAACCTTGTACACGCCACCCCAGAGTCCTCACACCTAATCCTGATACCTGCACCACAGTGGCACTTAAATGTCTGAGTGAATGAGAGTAAAAGAGATATAGTTGGGCTAAATATAAATAAAGAATTTAAAAGGAACTATAAAGTTCCTTTTTTATAAAGACTCCTTTTTGAAATATAGAAATAAAAGGACAAAAACATTGATCTGATACATGTTGCTTAAAATCGGAGGAAGCATCACTATAAATATGGGGCCAATGTATTTTCAGTATAGAATGGACCAGTTTGCGTATTTTTCAAACAGTAACATTATGTGACCTATACATACTTTGAAGTATTCTTTTCTTGTATGTATTCCCTAATACGAATACATTTATATAATATAATTGGCCTTATTTTTTATTAACTTGCCTTATACAATTAGAAATATATATCTATAGAAAAAATATTAGTCACATAAATAAGAATACTGACATATATATGTAGTGAATCTTCTTATAAACTTAAAAAAATCAATAATATTATAAAACATTACTAACACGACAAAAACATGACTAAAAATCATTATGAAGAGACATATGATAGAGATGACCCTGGGATTTTCCATGTTGCTGTAGCAGAAAGAAATGGTGATGGCTACCCCTAGTGCTCACTAGTTGGTGATTTCTCTCCGTCAAAATGCCTCTTTACTCTTCATGTTATCTGATGTTATTATTGGAGATGTCTTCCTGCTAGCCCATGAGAACTTTAAATATTCGGCATAAAAACATCGGTAAAGGACTTCTGTTTATGAATGTTATCCCATAAAACCCTGTTGAACATTATTTCAGAGAGAAATGTATTCTGAGCTCCTAACAGTGGACCTAGACATTTTGTTAGTACTTTATCTGTTGAAGACAGGTTGTTTTCCCACTATGTTTAAATAACAGAGACAAGGCCCCAAACCAAGGGTGCTTTGCCCATCCTGTTCTCTCTCAATTACTCCAATACTCCTTCCCTCTGCCATCCTCCTGCCCTCTACAAAAAGAACAAAAACTCCCTAGCAGTCTAATATAGCAGTGCATCGTGAGGCCAACCTCAGGGTCATCTCTGTCATATGTCTCTCGGCCATCTCATCACCTCCAGCCACACTGGGATAACCACACATTCTAGCCCAACCTTGCTGTGCCCTTTGACTTGAGCGAAGCAATGAATCTTCCTAAGATTATGCAGGATTATTAGATTATTTCAGAACCTACATATGCATACTGCCATGCCAAATTCACTTATTAATATGACCATTGGCTTATAAGGTTACTATATAATGAGATGATAAATTTTCAATTTTGTTTCAAAAAGCTATTTCATCCAGTTCTGGAAAATGTTTCCGAATGTTGTTAAGAGAATCTCCCTAGTCCCTGCTCCCAAGGACCAGGCTTGGTTGTGGCAGAAAGCCAGAGATCGAACAGTCTCTGGGGCAATGGGAGATTCTGAAGCAGGAAAAGCTCTAAACCATGTTCAAGTGCCAAAATAGAAAGTGTGGAATCCAAAAGGCGGTCAAATCCAAGTAGGCCAAAGCAGGTAATGAAATCTGCCAAGCCAGGAGTATGGAGCCAACGAGAGGAAAGCAAGCACGAATGAGGCGGACAGAATGGGGAAGGGGAAACTCCTGGGTGATTCCCTAGAATGTCTAATCCATTAGGCTTTGCAGTTGGTTTTTGTGCACCCGCCAGGGTACCGTCATAGGTGGCCCAGCCCATTTAAAGGGCCAATGGCAATTAGAGCATTCCTGAAGCGGGAAACATTTTTCATTGCCAACTATGTTGGCCTGTACCCATCCCAGTGTACTGTTGATTGAAGTTAGGATGACATCAAGAGTTGTTGGTCACTTTTCACCCCCTATAGATGTTCTTGATATTGGGCTGGCAGATGTTGGAATGACTAATGAAAAAAAGGAGGTAGGGTCATGCTGCTTCAGGTAAAACCAGAGCCAGGAACAGAACAGTGAGAAGTGAATGCCAGGATGACAATGTAACAATGGCTTGTATGGACCTTTAATAATTCCTAAGGTCCCTGACGTTAACAAAAAGTATTCGGAAAAACTTATTAAGAATTCTTTGTTGCCATGTTGAAAATGCGAATTCCTCCTACATATTTTTGTGAATCCCAAAGTCTGAATAAAGTTTACTATGTCTTCAAAAAAAAAATTCTTAAGTCCCACGTAAAAGCCCCTAAATTTGTTAGTGACATCCAAGATCTGTTTGGAAAAGCAAAAGGGTACAGCTGGGTATGCCCAGCAGGTGGTAACTGTACGTGTGAATCTCAGCCTTGGCTTTCATTTAACCATGAACACAGCCAACTGTCTGAAAAATTTTATGTTTTCTGCCCCCAGATCTAAAGAACCGTCCAGTAGGCTCAGCATTTTTGAAACCCATCCCATATACACTTTGATGACGGCCAGGGGCAGGTCTGGCCAGGGGTTTGGCTTAAATAAGGCTGGGGTTCTAGAGTCGGGGTGGGGGTGTCTGAGGTTTAAGGAATAGGCAAAGGTCTAAAATTTCAGGAGATAAACCCAAAGGAACACCAAATCTGTGAGCCAAAGCAGGTGCAGAAATCTCACCACAGTGTTTGGAGCCAGAGAGATAAGAGCAAATCCAAGTGACCCAGGAGCAGAGAAATAGGAAGGAGCTCTTGCTATGTGACTACCCAGAATGTGCATTTGTCATTTGCAACTTATTTTTGCAGGTTAGTCCACTTCTAGTGCCTAGGAGAATCCACGGTCACAAACAGAACAGACAAATAAGGCAATAAAAGCAAAGAATGAAGATTCTGGGTGAACCTTCAGCAACACCGGCCTCTGTGAAGGAAACCGTCTGAACATTGATGGCCCATGGCCATTGTCAAGCAATCTAGACACCCGTTCAGCAAGCTGGGGGCTCTGACACCGATCAGCTCAGTCACCTAGGGAGAGGCTTACAACCATTTTGGGCTTCAGTTTCATCTTCTGAGAAATGAGGATAACGGTATGACCCCACCTACTTTATAGGGTTCTTGTGAAAATCAGAGAAACCATAAGAATGCCTGAAACCAGAAGAAATTTGAAAATGCTGCAGAAACCTAAGAGTAATATCAGAATCTTCTCTTTTAAATTGAAAAATAATGCTTTTTATTTGTCATTCTTCTCTTCAAAAAGCATTATTTTCTTAACAGAAACAGACACTTTTCACAGACCTCTGGTAGGAAATAATTGAGGAGGCGAGCAAACTTTTGCACAAGCTCTTTTTAATCTGGGAAGTAAGCTAATGTACTGATTCCCTACAGCGTCACTGTGACTTTTAAAGGAAATGTTTTTATGTGGTATGTTGTGGCTTTTCTCATAGCTATTGCAATGGAAGTCCTTCAGTTGAGGCACAGTGTCAGCTCAACAGCACAGAGATACCTGGGTGCATTCAGGTAGGAGACGGTGAGGCCCAGCACGCTATGGACGTGGCTTTGATTTGCCCTTACTGGATTTAATCCGGGTTTTGGATTTGCTGCCCACAGCACTCTCCTTGCCTCGTGGCTCTGAAAGACAAAAGCAATTAGAATGTTACACTAACACGATCTCATTATTTACTAAAGACTTTTTACTTTATAAAGCATTTTTTTGTAACTTACCTTTACCTGAGGGTATCTTTTCCATTGATCTTTAGAGAGAATGGAAGGGAGAAAGGGAGGGAGAGAGAGAAAGAGAAACATCGATGTGAAAGTAACACATCGAATGGTTGCCTCCCGCACACAGCCTGACCAGAACCAGGAATAGAACCTGCAACCCAGGTATGTGCCCTTGACTAGGAATCGAATACATGACCCTCCAGTGTGTGGTGCATGGACCAACGCTCTAACCACTGAGCAACCAGCCAGGGCTACAAAGCAATTTTAAAATTCTATTCTGCCTGAGTAACTGCTAAGCTACCAACACATTCTGTGCCAAAAATTTGACTCTAAATTTGATATTGGGATTCAGAATGGATTTTCCTAAAGTTTAAGTGTAGTCAGTTAGCCTGAAGTCTGGGTCCCGGAAGGGGACCATGTGGTCAAGGAGAGAAGAGAAAGAGGAAGAACATTTTCTTCTTCCATCTTGTACACACCCCAAGCTTGGTGAGAAAATATTCAAATAGAGCTAGTATCCAGAATCCTGCTAGATCCATCCCTGCACCCCTGTTCTTTCTCTCCAGCCTCCTGAACACAGACCCTACACAAGCCCTACCCTTGGGATGAGTACAGGAGGCCTTCTGCTATCACACCTGCTGTGTCTGGCTGCTCCATGACACAAACTTCGTAATCTGAATCCTTCTGACTGGCTGCTGCCACCTCCATCCCACACTTGGTCACCTTGTTCGCGACCTTGTCTTGCTTTTAAATGTATCTTCCCACTCCTAATCGTGGGCCTCACTGAGATCAGATTTAGCTTCGAAAACGCCCCTCTCGATTCCTTTCTTTGTTCATAGCTGAGAGCAAAATTATTAAAAATATTGATATAAGCCCTAGCCGGTT